CTGCATTGGAAGTGCAGAATCTTAACCAATCTTAACTGGGGAAGTCCCCTGTCCCTTTTCAGACAGTGTGTGCTAGCTGTTGTTCTGGATCCAATTACCAGTTGATAGAAATATAAGAAACAGAATAAACATTTAAACACACCATGAAAATAAAATCAGAAATATCAATATGCTCAAATAAACAAGCTAACTTTACACATCAAGAAACTAGAAAAGGAAGGACAAACAAAGCCCAAAGGTAGTAGAAGGAATGAAATAATAAAGATCAGAATGGAACTCAAAGAAATAGAGAATAAAAATAAAATAGAAAACACCAATAAAACTGAGAGGTTTGAAAAGATAAACAAAATAAGACAAACCTTTAGCTAACTCACCAAGAAAAAGAAAGAGGGCTCAAAATTAAATATGAAAAAGATACTACAACTGATACCACAGAAATACAAATGATCATAAGAGATTGCTATGGACAACTGTACACCAAAAAACTGGACAACCTAAGAAATGGATAAATTCCTAGAAACATACAATCTACTAAGAGTGAATCATGAAGAGACAGAAAATCTGAACAGACTGATTACATGTAAGGAGATTAACCAGTAGTAAAAAACCTCCCAACAAACCAAAGTCCAGGATCATAAGCCTTCACTGGTGAATTCCACCAAACATTTAAAGAGGAATGAATATCAATCCTTCTCAAAATCTTCCAAAGAAAACAGGAAGGAGGGAGTACTTCCAAACTCATTTTATAAGACCAGTGGTATCCTTATACTATAACCAGACAAGAACACTACAAGTAAAGAAAATTACAGGCCACTATCCCTGAAGAACACAGATTCAAAAATCCTCAACAAAATATTAGCAAACCCAAATCAATAATACATTAAGAGGATCATACACCACGATGAAGTGGGATATATCCAGAGATGCAGGATGGTTCCATATCTGCAAATCAATCAATATGATACACATTAACAGAATGAAGGACAAAAATTGGGGACTTCCCTGGTGGCGCAGTGGTTAAGAATCTGCCTTCCAATGTAGGGGACATGGGTTCGATCCCTGGTTGGGGAACTAGATCCCACATGCGTGCTGCAACTAAGAGTTTGCATGCCACAACTAAGGAGCCCGCTGGCCGCAAATAAGGAGCACACATGCCACAACTAAGGAACCAGTGAACCGCAACTAAGAAGCACACGTGCAGCAACTAAGGAGCACATGTGCCACAACTAAGGAGCCTGCCTGCTGCAACAAAGACCCGGTACAACCAAAAAAAAAAAAATTAAAAAGTTAAAAATAAAGTTAAAAAAGGGACAAAAATCATATCATAATCTCAACAGAGGCAGAAAAAAGCATTTGACAAAATTTAATATCCATTCATGATTAAAAATTCAACAAAGCAGGTACAGAGAGAATGTTGCTCCATAATAAGGACATATATCACAAGTCCACAGCTAACATCATATTCAACAGTGAAAAGCTGAAAGCTTCTCTAAAGTCAGGAAAAAGACAGGGATACCCATTCTCACCACTTTTATTCAACATTGCATTGGAAGTCCAGCCAGAGCAATTAGGCAAGAAAAAGAAAGAAAAGGCATCTAAATTAGAAAGGAAGAAGTAAAAGTGTCACTCTTTGCAGACAACATGATATTATATACAGAAAACCCAAAAGGCTCCACCAAAACACTGTTAGAACTAATAAATGAATTCAGTAAAGTTGTAGTATGCGAAAACAATATACAAAAATCAACTGCATGGCAGGGGGATAAATTAGGAGTTTGGGATTAACATATACACAGTACTACATATAAAATAGATAATCAACAAGGACCTACTGTAGACCACAGGGAACTCTACTCAATATGTAATAACCTATATGAGAAAAGAATCTAAAAGAAGAGGGGATATATGTATATGTATAACTGATTCACTTTGCTATACACCTAAAACTAACACAACATTATAAGTCAACTAGACTCCAATATAAAATAAAAACTAAATTAAATTGAAAAAACAAGAAATTATGCTAATAAAGGAAGTAAGAACTTATAAAAAATATCAATTGGGTTTCTATACACTAATAACAAACTACTAGAAAGAGAAATTAAGAAAACAATCCCATTTACAATTGCATCAGAAAGAGTAAAATACCTAGGAATAAATTTAACCAAGGACATGAAAGACCTGTTCACTGAAAGTTATGAGATGTAGATGAAAGAAATGGAGAAGACAAAAATAAAAGGAAAGATATTCCATGGCTCATGGATTGGAAGAATTACTGTTAAAATGTCCCCTGTACCAAAGCAATATAAAATTCAATGAAATTCTTACCAAAATTCCAATGGTGTTTTTCACAGAAATAGAACACACAATCCTAAAATGTGTATGGAACCACAAAAGGCTCTGAATAGCCAAAGTGATCTTGAGAAAAAAGAACAAAGCTAAGGCATCCTGCTGCCCAATTTAAACTGTATTATAATGCTATAGTAATCAAAACAGTATGGTACTGGAACAGAAACAAACACAGAGATCAATGGAACAGAATACAGAGTCCAGAAATTCAAAACCACACAAATACAATTAATTTATGACAAAAAAGCCAAGAATATATGATGGAAAAGGGACGGTCTCTTCAAAATGTAATGTTGGGAAAACTGGACAGCCACGTGCAAAGGAATGAAACTGGACTACTCTCTTACACCATACACAAAAATTAACTCAAAATGGATTAAAAACTTGAATGTAAGACCTAAAACCATAAAACTCCTAGAACAGAACATAAGCAGTAAGCCCCTTGGCATTGGTCTTGGAGATGATTTTTTTGTATTTGACAACAAAAGCAAAAACAAAGGCACCAAAAGCAAAAATAAACAAGTGGCACTATGTGAAAGTAAAAAACTTCCTGCGTGGCAAAGAAAACCATCAACAAAATGAAAAGACAATCTACAGAATGGGAGAAAATTTTTGCAAATCATGTATCTGCTAAGGGGTTAATATCCAAACTATATGAACTCATACAATTCAACAGGAAAAGACAAATAATGCAATTTTAAAATGGGCAGAGGATCTGAATAGATGTTTTTTCAAAGAAGAGATATAGATGGCCAAAAGGTATGTGAAAAGGTGCTCAACGTTACTATTAAGGGAAATGCAAATCAATGCAACGAAATAGCACATCTCTCAGAATGGTTATTATCAAAAAGACAACAAATAATAAGTGTTCGTGAGGATGTGGAGAAAAGGGAACCCTTGTGCACTGCTGGTGGGAATGTAAATTGGGGCTGCCATTAGGGAGAACAGTATGGAGGTTCCTCAAAAAATTAAAAATAGAACTATGATATGATACAGCAATTTCACTTCTGGGTATTTATGTGAAGAAAACAAAGACACTAACTCAAAAGATATATGTACCTCCATGTTCACTGCAATGTTATGTACAATAGCCAAGACATGGAAGCAACCTAAGTGTCAATCTACGAATAAAGAAAGAAAACATAGTGTGTTTGCATGAACACACACACATATACATACCCAACACACACACACAATGGGATAAAAAAAGAAGGAAATCTTGCTGTTTGCAACAACATGGATGGACCTTGAGGTCACTATGTTAAATGAAGTCAGACAGAGAAAGACAAATACCATATGATCATATGACCTCACTTATATGTAGAACCTTAAAAAAAAAACTAGAATGCATGGATAGACAGATCTATGGTTGCCAGAGGAGGGGAGAGTGGGATGGGATAAATGGGTAAAGGTGGTCAAAAGGTACTAACTTCTAGTTATAAAATAAATAAGCCCTGAGTACATGCAATATACAATATGGTGACTATGGGTAATGATACTGTATTGTATATTTGAAAGTTGCTTATAGAGTACATCTTCAAAGTTCTCATCACACACACACAAATCTGTAACTACGGATGGCAATGGATGTTAACTAGACTTAATTCGGAATAGATATACAAACATTGAATCATTATGTTGTACACTTGCAACTAATATATGTCAATTATATCTCAACTTTAAAAAACTTCAAAATGTGTGACTTTTTAAAACGTGTTACTTTTCAAAAAATCAATATAATGGAGAAATAACGGCCAACGCTCTAGGTTAAAGGAGACTAAAAGACACAAAAAAAATTGCCGTATATAAACCCTGATTGCATCTCAGATCCAAAGACACTCAGAAGTGTATTTCAGAGCAATGTGGAGGATTTTAGTTTTCACAGAGTAGATAGAAGGTGACATTATTACTTTAAATTTTCTTGGGGTAAATAATAGTTCTGTGGTTTAATTAGCACAATGTCCTTATCTTTAGGAGATGCATTACCAAGTATTTAAAGGTCAAGTATTAATACATGGCTGCAATTTATTTTCAGCTTACTCCCTCGAATAACTCACCAAAAAATGTATTTATCTAGAGAAAGAGAGCAAACATGCAAAATGCCCAAAATGGGTGACTCTACTTCAACGGACGTTAATTGTACCGAAGCTTCACATTTTATTTAGGTTTACGACTTTTCAAACGAAAAATGTGGGGAAACAATACTTAGACCAAACATCCCGTTAATCAGAAGTTCAATTATCCTAGATATAGGGCAAAAAAGCCTCTATCCGTTTTTCTTGGAATCCCATGTTTTGAAGTTTTGTAGGGAGGTACAGGTTTAGGAAGTTCAGATGAAGAGATAAGGGAGCATCCTTGCTTCTCTTTTGTAGCAAAAGTTGTGGCCTATATAAACTTATATTTCTATACAAAAAAACGCACTCCATAGACATCCATGAAAGTACCTTTCTACCCGAATGTAATGCGCCAAAAATAAAGAACGCGCAAAGATAATGCCAAATTCTCAGACGAAACTTCTTTTTTTGCATAGAAAAGGAAACGGAGGCCCTTTCTCCCACTGCTCACCGGCATGTGCCAGAATCGCCGGGTGCGTGAAGGACTCGAGGACACGGGGCTGGAGTCAACGGACCCTAAAGGCGGAAATTCTTTACCTCTCGAAGAAAAATCACGAAGGCTGCTTTGGAGGCTTTTGAAGAGGGGAGCACAGGATGAAACCTAAACGACCCCGCGGAAGCACCCTTAGGATATTTCGCCGGGGCGGCCTCTGGACCTGGCCGTTCCGGGAGGCCCCGAGGCCGCGGCGGAAGTGAGCGGCGTAGGCCTCTCTAAGCTGACCCCAGGGCGGCCCGGGACAGACTCGTTCTAATTCCACCTTCCATTTGCTTCCCTCTCCTACGCGCCGGCCTACCGGACGCCGGATTCGGCCAAACCACGACCAACCGGAAACTGCTCAAGAAACACCCGGCCAGCAGCGGAAGAGACTGCGGCGAACGAAGTTCGCCACTTCCGCTTCCGGCTCGGGAGGGGTCGGAAGAGGCGGGGCTTCCGTGGTGGCACCGTCGGCCACGTTCGATCCCCTCAGGTGGAGAAATTCTAGTTTTCTCTGGCGTGGGTACAGATGGGTTCCGGGTGGGCTAGGTTCGGGGGCTGGGGACCGAATGAGCCCCAAAGACAAGATTGAGGCTGGAACCAGTCCTTAGATGGGGCTGCTGGTGGGGGGCGCAGTCTGTTTCTGAGGCGGGGTTGGAGGTGGGATACGTTTTGTGCGTATTTAGATCGCTGAATACTGGCGCCTGAAGGGCGTGGCTGCGGGCAGGGACCCACCCCAAGCAAGCACATCAAAAGGTCTACGTGCCTCTCGCCTCGTTCGTGGAGCCCTAACAGTGATTTTCCCATATCGATAATCCTGCCGATCCATGAAGTAGTCTGTCTTCTCCGGTCAATTCCACAAGGCAGGACACAGTGCTAAACTCAAATGCTGTCCCCTGCATCTGGGGGGTTTTTCATTGTTGTTAAATCAGTAAGCAATCGAAGACAGCATTACGTTTGCTAGACCTCAAAACTACTTGGCACGTAAGATTTAAAGTTTCCCCTTTCTTTTAGTAGGGGGTGGGGGGATTGCTTGTAGCTTCGTAAAGTCCCAGCCTTTATACTTAATTTTTTTCTTTTGGTCTCTTGTGTTTCCCTGGTTTTCTTTATTTCTTTTTTCTTTAGATATTTACCTGCTAAGCTCCTGGTGGTCCCGAGTGACCCCTGCTGTGAGCAGTGGCCTCCCTTTCTAGACTGTCCCTATCAACCTCAGGGGGACTAGAGTCTATATCCAAGGTGGGGGAATCCTTATTTTGTAACAATTTGGTTTTCAGGAGGATGCTCTTACATGTTGATAGGCAGTGGTACTCAAGAGAGCCCAAGCACACTGACCAGGAGATTTACAAACTGATTTGAGTTGAGAAAACTTCTGAGGTTTCTTGGGAGCAAGAACAAAATGTTCCTTCCCCTTTTCCTTTTTCATTAAACATTGAGCCACCAGTCTCTATGGATGAGATCCCTCATATCCCACTAGGTTGGAAATCACTACAGAAGCAAAGCAAGGCACAACAGAGAGATAGGTGAGGGCTGCTGGTGTCTTTGGTGGGGACAGCCACTGGGGAACTACTGATCTCTTTGTCTGCCACAAGGGATGTCATGGAGGAGATCTCTCTTGGTGTTGCAAGGAACATCATAACTAATATGGTGATGAAGAAAGGTAAGTTGTTTCTGGTTGTCCTTAAAAATCTGTAGGCATTAAATGTTATCCACTAGGTCAATAGCTCACATTTATATCAAGTGAATTAATGAAATTTCATTATTAGGGGGAAAAGGATAAACACTATATAAGAATGAAAGGACAATTTACCAGAAACATATAAAATGACTACATTTTTATGCATCCAGTTATACGGCCTCAAAATACAAGATAGAATTTAAAAAACAATCTGACTACCCACAGTCATACTGGGGCATTTTAACATACCTCTCTCAGTAAAGGGGAGATCATGAGGTAAGGTTTTTAATGATACAGATTTTAAAAACACAATAAAATTTATCCATCAGATATACTGAAAATCTGTTACACCCAACAAATTATAGAATACACATTGTTTTCAACTATACTTGAAGGATTCTTAAAACTTGACCATATGAGATGTATCAGTTGAGACTGAAATCCACTGAAACAGACTCTTCCCACAAGAGTGTTAAACCAGTTAGTTTATTTTTTTCATGTTACAAGAAGTCCAGAAATAAGCAACCCATAGTTGCTTATACATAGCTAAATACTATGTCCTTATTATATAATCAGTAGTGTATGACTGTCATCCTATTGGTCTATTCTCTAGGAAAAAAGAAGAGATAAGACAAAGGGCAAATGGTAAAGTGAAAACGCCAGATGCGATGCTCCCATTTCCATGGAATTCTTTAGAACCCACAAGCAGTGACCTCTGCCTCCTTTCTCATTGGCCAGGACTGTGGGCTCATGGGCACTCACAGCTGCAAGGAAAGCTGGGAGATGAATCCTTAAGAACTGTCCACACTGCTAATTTGAACACAGTTGTATTGTTACTTGAAAGAAGGAGGGGAGGAATGGATATTGGGACAGCAACTTCTTTTGTCTCACACATTAGGCCATGTAGCAAGTCTCTAATAATTTTGTTTGAATCTATGTCTTATAGAATCTGTGTCATGAAGACCATGCATTCTGTGCATAATGCAATTAATTTAGAAATCTATAACTAAAAGATAACTAAAATATGCACAGAGTCTGCACATTAAAATATATATTTCTAAATAACCTATAGTTTGGTCCAAGACATCTTGATGAGAAATGGACAATATTTAGTACTTAATTACAATAAAAACATTATGTATCAAAACTTTTGTGATGTAGATCAAGGGGAATTTACAGTGCTGTATAATCTTTAATACTCATCAATTAATGAGTTGTCACACTTTAAAGATTAAACACTCACTGATAAATACAATCACAGAACCATAACATTTATAAGGTTGGTTCCAGTATAACGTGACTAAAGAGTTGTGCCTGAAGGCTTTCTAAATTGGTCACAATAGGGTTTCTCTCCAGAGTGAGTTCTAAAATGAGTGAGATGTGAAGGACCTAAGGCTAGCCTGTAGTCATTTCATTCATATAGTTTCTGTCCAGTATGTATTCGTTTGTGCATTATAAGGTTAGTGCTGGTGCTGAATGCTTTTCCACACTGAATACATTTATAGGGCTTCTCTCCTGTGTGAGTTCTCATATGTACCCTTAGGCAAGAGGAATTCCTAAAGGCCTTCCCACATTCTTTACACTCATAGGTTTTCTCTCCAGTGTGAGTTCTCTTGTGCACAATAAGATAAGAGCCTGTACTGAAGGATTTTCCACATTGATTACACTCATAAGGTTTCTCTCCAGTGTGAGATCGTGTATGTTTCTTAAGGGATGACTGATCAATAAAGGATTTCCCACAGTCACTGCATTCATAGGGTTTCTCTCCAGTGTGTGTTCTCATATGTTTCTGAAGGGATGAAGGAACAGTGAAAGCCTTGCCACATTCCTTACAGTCATAGGGTTTCTCTCCAGTGTGAGTTCTTTTGTGCACATTAAGATGAGAGCTCTGGCTGAAGGATTTTCCACAATGATTACACTCGTAAGGTTTCTCTCCAGTGTGTGATCTCACATGTTTCTTAAGGGAAGACTGAAAAACAAAGGCTTTCCCACAATTGCTGCATTCATAACGTTTCTCTCCAGCGTGAGGTCTCACACATATCTGAAGGGACAAGGGGCCAGTGAAAACTTTCTCGTGTTCATTACATTTTGAGCTTTCCTCCACAGTACACATTTTTTTGTGGAAACTAAGGGAAGATCTTTTTCCATAGTCACTGCATTCACAGAGTTTCTCTCCAGTAGGTATTTGTTGATGTACTGAAAAGGAAGAGTGTAAGTTGAAGGACATAAGATGTTGATTACACTCAGAAGATTTCTCTCCTGTGAGAGTTAAGTGTTTCCTAAGGGATGACTCTTGATTGAAAAATTTTCCACAACCATTAAATTCAATAATTTTCTCTCCAGTGTGAGTACTCACATGACTCCTAAGAGTTGAGGGATGGCCAGAGTCTTGCCCATATTCTTTATATTTGTTGCATTTCTCTCTCTTGCAATATCTTGGACAAATAAGGTGACAGTTCTTTCTAAAGAATTTTCCACAATGATTAAATTCCATTGGTTTCTCACCAGGGTGAGTTGCTGCCTACAGAATAAGGAATCAGTGGTGACTAAAGGCTTTCTCACTTTCATCACAGAGGAACTCACTCCCATGTGGATTCTGCCATATATATAAAGCATATTATTATAACTAACATTTTTTACCATTTTCAGGGTGTGTGTATACCTTTTGCGCTATTCTTTCAAGTTGAAATAGGTGAATACTCTTCCCAAGACCCCATGGTATTCATTCCCATCAAAGGGCATCCTAAATATAGTTTTTCTAGTCATGTGTGAAGAATGAATGAATTATTTATTAAATAATAATTGAATCACATTTAAGTAAATGTTTACTTGTTGATATTCTCTGCATGGCAGCAAGTGTTGAGGTAGGTTTGGAGATTTCTCCAATTTTATGGGATTCATAAAGGCTTTCCTGAAGCAGCTTTCTGATGAGTGAATTCCACTTGCCTCAAGTGTCTCCCCTTGTTTGGGTGCTGCTGCTGTTTTAATTCCTTGAAATTCACAGAGTTCTCCCATTCTAAAAAACCAGGAACCATTTCTAGTGAATCTCACCGTTTTTATGCCATTGGAAGTTTTTTCCCCAGGAACATTCTGTGTAAGAATTGCGTCTTTTGATTTAAGTTGAGTATCCTGGTCTGAAAGTGAATGGGGAAATTTTTTATAATTATTGGGAGAAAAAGTAGGGATGAAAGAAAAAAGGAGGCAGGCACCCTATGGATTTGTTTTCAAATAATAACACTAAATATAGGAGGAAAATATGAAAGAGAAGATGCAACCAGTGACCAGAGAAATTAATTTAGGAACTTGGCTCTGGAAACAGATGCCAATGATAGGGACAAGCAATGGAAATGAGAGGTATTTTACTAAGGATTCTGGAGGCTTGAGACAATAAGAGAAGGTATTATCTGGAAAGCAAGTGGGGAGAACTGAACAAAAAGTATTCAAGGAAATGTGAAATTGAAAGAGTAATTAAAATAGTTTTTCCTTTGAGACCAAATGGAAGTATGAATGAATGGAGAGATGGTGAAAGAAGGAAAGCTCATGTAATGGCCTCTGCCTTCTTTCCCACAATGACTGACATTCCCAACAGTATCACCCCTTGCAGGCTGTGGCTATTTCATACAATGACCCCTTTCTGCCTGGGGCTCACCTCTATAAGCACCTTGGAGAATTCGTCTCTGCTCTGGCCTCAGCTCTTCCTGCTCCACCTCGGTGAACAGACTGTGTTTGCAGAGATGATACCCTGCTTATGGGGAAAGACACATGATGTGGGTAGACTGTGAAGGAAACAAGAAATCTTTCCACAAAATTGATTCCAATACTTTGGTTTTAAAGGATTCTGAAGATAGGCAAGTGCAGCTTTAGGGGGAGCAAAACAATCAGATTATATAACTATTTCACAGGGCCCCAAAACAGACACGCATACTCCTTGCCCCACATGACCTGACCCTTGAATTCCAAGCCCAAGATCTGCAAATTACCTAAATTTTTTAAGGATCGAGAAAATACAATCAGTGCATTTTCATGGGAAGCCACAAGACTGCTCCACAAGGGCAGGAACCATCCATTCTGTGTTTACCATGTACTGCCATTCTTTTCACAGTTGCTGGAACAGATATGTGATGAAGAACTATTACGTGTAGGAACAAATGAATACGAAGGAATGAAGTCAACTTTACCCACTGAGGCTAGGTTCCTAAAGTTCTCCAGCATCACGTCTCTGTACAGGATTTTCTGAGCAGGGTCCAGCAGTGCCCACTCCTCCTGTGAAAAGTCCACTGCCACTTCCTCGAAGGTCACCAAGTCCTAAAACATCACATGTACACAGGTTCAGCCAAGGACCATCTCTAACTCTGAACCAGAAAGATGGCGAGTGAGGCTGACAGGACTTGGGAAGGAGACCCAATGTGTAGGAAGCTCAGACATGCTTCAGAGGTCTCATTATTTGACCCAAGGCTCAATTCTTGGAAATTTCCACTTTTGTCCTCACTCCCTGGACCATATCATCCAGCAGCTTAGCAGCTTTTCTAACACAGTGGAACTTATATTTCCACAACTAGGTTGTGAGGAATCTGCCAGTCTTATTGAAGATCAAGACTGAGCATACTGCAGAATGAGAAAAATAATTAGTGAAAAAAGTCTTTATTTTCCTTCATGGCACCCAGCAGAATATGGAACTAATACTCACCCTGGAGGATTATCTGAAAAAAAATTAACAAATGTTGAGGCCTTTCCTAAGACATCCTCTATCTCCTATTCTGAGAAGCCCAGAGAACTGGGGAAGCCTAAGGCCAGCCTGCCTGGGCTGTGAAGCTGTGGGTCATGGGCAAGAGATGTATCCTTTAGCAACAGCAATGTTTTTTTGGAAACAATAACTTCCCACATACCTGTGACCAGGTTGTCAGCAATCCTGCAGCCATTCTTCCTCTTGTGTCTCCCTCCTGGCCAGGCTCCTGGACTGGAGCATGCAGACCTAGAGGAGAAGAAAGAAGCCATGAGAGTCTTGGCCTGATAGATATTCAACACTTACAGGCCTGGAAGCTTCCTCACACTAGCTTTAACAACGCACACATAAATGCACATATATGCACATATACATACAAACAATACAGTACAGATTTTATCTCCCTATCCAAGAACAGTTAGGAATGGGAATACTGTATGTACTTATTATTATTATTATTTTGCGGTACGCAGGCCTCTCACTGTCGTGGCCTCACCTGTTGCGGAGCACAGGCTCCGGATGTGCAGGCTCACTGGCCGTGGCTCACGGGCCCAGCCGCTCCATGGCATGTGGGATCTTCCCGGACCAGGGCACGAACCTGTGTCTCCTGCATCGGCAGGCAGACTCTCAACCACTGAGCCACCAGGGAAGCCCTGTATGTACTTATTTTTTTAACTTTTCCCTAGACTGAACTACCAAAAATGCCTAGAGTCACTCACAACTCAGGAGCAATGAGCGCTCTAGTGTTAAAATTCCTCAAAATGCCATCTATCTGTATAAGAAACCAGGACTCCTTTGGCAAATAGCTGAGTCCAATGTGGAACAAGAAATGTGCAAGATGAGCCTGGAACAGCTTATACCAGAAAGCAAGGAGCCTACCACACAGGAGAAAACTTAAAAAGGTTCCCACTGGCTTAAGATGGAACAATTTAATAAAGAATAATGACTACAATCAGTTGAAATATACCAAATGTAAAACAAAGCCATGAGTATATAGTGTTACTAAAAGAACCTTCAATGGTCACTATCGGAGGTGGCTAGGATATAATTTTGTTATTCTGAAAATTCGTGAAAAGAATCAAGGCTTTCCTGGTGGCTCAGTGGTTAAGAATCCACCTGCCAATGCAGGGGACGCAGGTTCGAGTCCTGGTCCGGGAAGATCCCACATGCCATGAAGCAACTAAGCCCGTGTGTCACAACTACTGAGCCCACGTGCCACAACTGCTGAAGCCTGCGTGCCTAAAGCCCATGCTCCACAACAAGAGAAGCCACCACAATGAGAAACCCACGCACCGCAAAGTAGAGTAACCCCTGCTTGCCACAACTAGAGATAGCCCGCACACAGCAATGAAGACCCAACACAGCCAAAAGTAAATAAAATAAATAAATTTATTTAAAGAATGTAATTAAAGACTCAAATGTATCACCCCGCTCCCTCCTTTATGAACAATATTTTATGATTACCAAATAGTTGCGATAAGGGAAAGCTCTTTATAGAATAATTATAGAAACTTTATTAGGAGCTTCATTTATTATGAAGAAAATGCTAGAATCAGAAAGTGACCATTCTGCAACCACTAGTAAATTAATGGACCTAGGCAATGACAAGAAATGGCTATTAAAATATTAGATGAAAAGTGAATGGGGATGTTTATTTTCAACTTTTAATTTTGAAATTATTTTGAAAAAATTTCAAACTCAAAAGTTGTGAGAATAGTGTAAATATGATGAACTTCCCTATACTCTTTATCAGTTGTTAAAGTTCTATCACATTTGCTTTCTTTCTCTCTCTGTAGGGGGGTGTGTGTGTGTGTGTGGGTGTTTCATCAAGAATGATATTGAGAGGAATCTACTTGAGAGGAAATTGTGGATGTCATGACCCTTTTCTCCTACATTCTTCAGAGTATCATAGGAACTTAGAACTTAGAACATTCTCTAACACAAACACAATGATTGAAAGCAGGATTTAATATTACTATCTATCATACAATCCATATGCAGAATTTTACCAACTGGCCCAATAATGTCCTTTATAGCAGTCACTTTTTAAACTTCCCATCCAGGATCACGCCCTCAAAGTATGTTTCTTTAATCTTCTTTAATCTGGACCAATCCCTCAGCCTTTCTTCATCTTCCCAGGTTTGAAAAGTCCAGGCCAGATGTTTTACAGACAGCCTCAGTTTTGGTTTGTCTGTTGTTTTCTCATGATTAGATTCACAAAGTTCATTTTTGGATGATGTATTATGTGATTGATGCTTGTCCTTCTCTGCATCACTTCAGGAGGCTTATGATGCCAGTCTTGTCTCATTATTGATATTAACTTTGATCACTTGGTTAAGGTGGTATGCAGCATGTTTCCCCATTAAGTTAAACTTTTTTTCTTTTGTAATTAACAAGAAACCTGAAGGAGATAATTTAAGACTAAGTACATGTGCTGGGGAACTTTATAAAGTAAGATCAAGCTGACACTGGGACCAACTGATAAATCTTAACATCTCAAAAGAGACAACTGGACATCATTAGTTCTGATATGATGTAACAAAAAACAACACCAATTATAAAATATTTTTGCCAAAAAAAATCCTAACAAATCCTTTAATTAGCAGTTTATAGAAGAAGGGTAAGAGGAGACAGAGAACATGTTAAATGATATTATATACAGGACATAACCAGACAAATCCAGTTTGGAGGAGAAAGAGGAAGGGAGAACTCTTCCTGATTAAGAGACTTAAGAGGTGTAACAATCCATTGTAAAGTGTGGCCCTTAGATCTTGATTCGAACGACTATAAAAACACATTTGAGACACGTGGTGTTAACAGAACACAGACAGGATATTAGACGTTATTGGTAAAGAGAAAAGCATCCTGGGTTTCGGAACCAAAAAAAAAAAGAGAGAGAGAGAGAAAGCAGTTCCTGATCTGCAGGAGCTGACCTGGTACTCTCAGCTAGGCCTTGCTGTTGTGATGAGCTGGCCTGAAACTCACAGCAACGTCTGGGTGTTCTCTTGTTCAACACCCAAAACAGCAACAAGACAAGGTCACTCTGTGACCATGATATATTGAGACAAAAGCAAGAACACTCTGTAACTGTGTTTGAACATGGACAAAATATAAACATTATTTACACCTCAGAAATGACCAAACATCCCCCTTTTCTGGCTAATATGAGTGACTGCTCCTTGTTTATCAATTATAATTTTAGCCTCTGTATAGTTTTCCCCCTTTGTAGGTAACATTTACTAAGATGCCCAACACAGAATACCCTTGCACCCTACAACATCCAATCCAGAACTCACCCCAAAAGCACCTAATACGAGCCCCAATTCTTTTTTTTATAGGTTAGAAAAATGTGTGGGTTTTTTGTTTGTTTTTTTATATTAAGACTTTGTAGTTGCATTTACTAAGTTCCTGGTTTCAGCTGGCATCTTAAAAATATATCCCTTTAAGTTATGATTTTAGGTTCTCAATTGACAAAGGTCAACTAGACAATGACAAAGTCTAAAAAATACCCAACATTGACAAAGAAATTAGTTTGAAAACTAGAAAATCTGCCTTCAAAAATAGCTATTTCTACCAAAGTGGGCAAAAGGTATTGTTGTTGGATTAAACTACAATTTTATTTTAAATATTACCATCCCTCGGGAAATACCACTATAGCTTGAAAAATCACATTCACTTACAACTCACACTCTTGATCCTTGAAATGACATCTTATAATTCTGATACGCAGTATGCTTCTGAGTCAGTAGTTTTACCCTGAATGCCCTTTAAAGAAACCTTTTGAATGTTAAAATGATGTATGACTTTTTATTATACTAGCCAATTTGCTAGTATGTATATCAAGAGCAATGTTCCCCCCCCTTTTTTTTTTCAATATTTATTTATTTATTTGGCTGCACTGGGTCTTAGTTGTGGCACGTGGGATCTTCAATCTTCGTTGCAGCATGTGAGATCTAGTTCCCTGACTAGGGATCAAACCCAGGCCCCCTGCATTGGGAGTCTTAGCCACTGGACCACCAGGGAAGTCCCTCCCCTTTCTTTTTTAAAAGTAATTTTAAAATCTATTTTAATTGAGATAACAATGATTTATAAAATATAAGTTTCATGTGTTCAAAACCAAAGTCCTTAATAAGTCTTTTCTAACACTCTCTTACTGAGATATCCCACAGTTCACCATTGTGTGCATTCTGCCTTGCTGCAGTAAGTAATAAATCCAACTTGTTTAACTCTGTGTGCCCCTGGTGGTCTTCAGCTAAAGACCACTGATAACATCAAGAAATACTGTTAATTTGGGGGTGCGTGATAATGGTGTTGTGATAATGCTAAAAATGTCTGTTAAAAGTTTATGTAAGGGCTTCCCTGGTGGTGCAGTGGTTGAGAGTCCACCTGCCGATGCAGGGGACACGGGTTCGTGCCCAGGTCCGGGAAGATCCCACATGCCGTGGAGCAGCTGGGCCCGTGAGCCATGGCCGCTAAGCCTGCGCATCCGGGGCCTGTGCTCCGCAACGGGAGAGGCCACAACAGTGAGAGGCCCGCATACCGCAAAAAAAAAAAAAAAAAAAAGTTTATTTAAAAAAATTTTTAAATTGAAGTACAGTTGATTTACAATGTTGTGTTAGTTTCAGGTGTACAGCAAAGTCATTCAGCTATGTATGTGTGTGTATATAGATATATATATATACACACACATATATATATTCTTTTTCAGATTTTTCCATAATAGGTTATTACAAAATATTGAATATAGTTCCCTGTGCTATACAGTAGGTCCTTAATTTTTATCTATTTTATATATAGTTTTGTGCATCTGTTAATCCCAAACTCCTAATTTATTTAAATTAGGAATTAAAAGTTTATTTATTTTTTTTTGTTTTTTGTTTTTTTTGCGGTACGCGGGCCTCCCACTGTTGTGGCCACTCCCGCTGCGGAGCACAGGCTCCGGACGCACAGGCTCAGCAGCCATGGCTCACGGGCCCAGCCGCTCCGCGGCATGTGGGATCCTCCCAGACCGGGGCACGAACCCGTGTCCCCTGCATCGGCAGGCGGACTCTCAACCACTGCGCCACCAGGGAAGCCCAAAGTTTATTTTTATTAAATAATTGTCTTGTCAACCCTCAGAATGGGAGAAAACATTTGCAAATGAAGCAACTGACAAAGGATTAATCTCCAAAATTTACAAGCAGCTCATGCAACTCAATATCAAAAAAACAAACAACCTAATCCAAAAATGGGCAGAAGACCTAAATAGA